AGACCATGACAATTCTTTTAGAGGAAAACATTTCATTCGGGCTGGCTTACAGTTTCAGAGGTTTATTCCAATCTTGTCATGGTGGGAACCAAGGCAACATGCAGGAGACATGGTGCTGGAGAGGGAGCTGAGAGTTCTACATCTTGATCCAGACAGCAGGAAGTGAACTGCATTCCACACTGGGCATAGCTTAAGCATATAAGACCTCTAAACCCACCTTCATAGTGACACACTTCCCCTAAAAGGTCTACCTACTTCAACACGACCACACCTCCTAACAGTACCACTCCCTCCTTATAGGTCAAGCATTCAAACACAGGAGTCTATGGGAGGCATGTCTATTCAAACTACCATATGCACCCACGTAATCCTAGCACTGGGGGAGAAGGGGGATGGCAGGTGAATTGTAAATCTGAATCCAACCAGAGCTAAAGAATGAGATTCTGTCTAAAAAAAAAAAAAGAAAAAAGAAAAGAAAAGAAAAAAGAAAAAAGAGGAAAAAAGAAAGGAAGGAAGGAAGGAGGGTGGGGTGGTGGTAACACACACCTTTAGTCCCAGAGTTTGGAAGCAGAGACAGATCTCTGTGAGTTCTAGACCAGCCTGGTCTATAGAGCTAGTTCCAGAACAGCCAGAGCTACACAAACACTGTCTTGAAAAGCAGAAAAGAAAGAAAAGGGATAGGAGGTGGCCTGTCCATGTAACCCAAGCTGGCCTGGAACTTACTCTATAGCCAACCTTAAACTTTTTGTTTGTTTTTTTTTGTTTGTCTTTTTCTTTTTTTGAGACAGGGCTTCTCTGTGTAACAGCCCTGGCTGTCCTGGAAACTCACTTTGTTGACCAGGCTGGCCCTGAACTCACAGAGATCTGCATGCCAAGGTATGCGGCACCACTCTGGGCCAGTCTTAAACTTTTAATTCTTCTTTATCCTTTAATTGTTTCTTTCTTTTCTTTTTGGTTTTTTGAGTTAGGATTTCTCAATTTCTCTGTGTAACAGTCCTGACTGTCCTGGAACTCGCTTTGTAGACCAGGCTGGCCTCAAACTCACTGAGGTCAAAGCCACCACAGCCTGGCTTGTTTCTTAAACACATAAACAGGCATGGTACAGGCCTACATTATCAGCTTAGGAGAAAGCTGGTGTGGGAGAATTAAATGAGCCCAAGAGTTCAAGACCAGCCTAGGCAACATAAATGGCCCTGTCTCAAAGGAGAAAAGAGAATGAAAGAAAGTGCCCAGCTGTAGTCCCAGCACTCAGGAGCTGGAGTCAAAGTCCCTACAGAGCCAATGGCTGGCCTACAAAGCAAGAGTTGGGGTGTGGAGGATGGGCTGGGGAGAAGCTTGGTAGAGGGCTTCCTGGACAGACATGAAGGCCCAGGTATGATCTCAAGCACTATGTAAACCAGGCCTACTTGCCCAGATCTGCAAACTCAGCACCAGAGGCAGGAACATCACTGGAAGCCTTGCTTGTTCTACATGGTAAATTTCAGATCACCCTGGGTTACATAGTGAAACCATCTCAAAAAAAAAAATCTCAAATCAAAGAAACAAACCCACCCAAGATAAAACTCCTCCCCCTGTAAACAGAAAGAGCAGCCTTACAACTCTACACCTATTGTATGATCAGATCTTCATAAGGTAAGTGTACACACACACACAGGCTTTCTCCTGTATATTTACAACAACCCCAAACTGAATGGGTAAACAAATTACAGATAGGAATTGTTTTCAAAATAATTATGCTGAAAGAAGTCAAAGAGAACAAGACGGTAGATGCCATTTGTACAAAACTCCAGGAACTGCAATCCCATCTACTGTGATGATGGCTGAAGAGAGGAGAGGAAAGACTCACAGCAGGACACAGGAAGTTCTGTCCTTTTGCATGACTCTTCCACAATCATTAGAAGAAGTGTGATTAGAAGAAGACCTGATGACTCTTTCCCAGAGCTGACAAGAGTGAGGCGCCGCGGTGCACGGCGTCACTAGAGGGCGCTTGGACCTCGAAAGCCTGACGGTGTTGGTCGGCGAAGCTAGCGGCCCCTAGCGGCCGAGCCTCAAGCTACGCCCCTCTCCACAGTGAGGCCCAGGCCCTGCATAGCACGTTGTAACATGCTGTAGATTTGTCATCCTTTGCGTTAAAGCATTTATCTCTATTTATGGTAACACTAGTTGCAGAGAGAGGAGCTGGATGGTTGAAGAGGTGGATTTCTTTCCCTTATACCATTTAGTTCAGTGTTCAAGATTTACACTGTTAATTCTTTTTTTTTTTAATTAAAAATTAAATCAGAGTTCAGTGCCCAGCTCACAACCATGGTTAACTCCAGTTTCAGAAGACCTGGTACCCTCTTCTGGATCTACTGGCACCAGAAACAGACACAGTGCACACACATACATGCAGGCAAAACATGCATAACATAAAACTTTAAAACAAAATTTTATTTTTTTTTCTCTAAGATAGGGTTGTTTGTGTAGCTCTGACCCATCCTGGAACTAGCTACGTAGACCAGGCCAGCCTCGAACTCAGATATCTGCCTGACTTTGCCTTCAGAGTGCTAAGAGTAAAAGGCACGTGCCACAATGCCTAGCATAAAAAACTAAATATCAGTTTTAAAAAACACACACACACAAGAAACCCTAAACTTCCAGCCAGTTATGAAGGCCATGCCTGTAATACTAACACTCATATGGAGGAGCAGGATGATTACCAAGAACTGGAAGGGAGTTGGGGCTATAGAGAGAAACAGTCTCAAAAAATAAACCAAAATAAAAACAAGATAAGACAAAAAAATGAGTAGCCAAACAAACATCACTCCCTAAATTTCTGTAAGGCATATGAACAGAGTAAAATAGCCCTCTGATGCTTAGGTGTGGTGTATGTGTTTTGTTGTGGGGTAGATTTTCTCTATGTACCCAGTCTGGCCTGCTGCTTCAGCCTCCCAACTAGCTAGGATTACGGGGGTGCACACTGCACTAGCTGATATTTAGAGGGGGGGGGGGCTTGTGGATTCTTTTGATTTGAGACAGGGATGTGCTGTGTATCCCAGGCTGGCCTGTCATTGACTTGGATGTCAGGCAGGACTCAACAATTCTTTTGCCTTCGCCTTGTAAGTGCTGGACTGTAGACAGGAGCCACACTTGTTCTGAATTTAAAGCAATAGAGGGTGGGGCACATATCAGTGTAAAGAGTGCTTGCTCTCGAAAGACTTCATACTATAACGCCATTATCGCATCTGCCAGTTATCTTATGAACACTCAGACTGGCCCCCGTGTTTATATTTTTTTGTTAGTTTTATTGTGTGTGTGTGTGTGTTTCCTACATGTAGCCATGTGCGTCATGTGGGTTCTTGGTGTCCATGAACCAGAAGAGGGAGAGGAACTGGAGCGATAGATGTCTGTAAGCTACCACAGAAGTGCAAGGAATGGAATCCTGGTAAGAGCAGTCAGTGCTTTTAACCACTCTCCAGCTCCACTTTTTTCTTATTTGAGAAAAGGTCTCCACAGCTCAGGCCAGCAATTCTCTTGCTCAGTCTCTCAAATGCCAGGACTACAAGTGTGTGCTATCATGCATGGCTCTCAAATGTATTTTGTAGATATTTTTTCAAACCAGGATTCAGTCAGGTTCACACGCCATTGGTCTGTTTTTCAACTACTTTTAGGAGGTGCTGTGGGCTGAAAGTAAAGTCTTGAAAATTACAGGCCAGCGCTCTACCACTGAGCCATACCCCCAATTTTTTCCAGTTTAAAATTCTAAAAATGTTTTCCTCTCCCCACCCTCCAGTTCTTTTTGAGACCGAGTCTCGCATGACCCCCTGGATGACTCAGAACTCACTATATGGACCAGGCTGGCCTTGAACTTCCACAATACCTCTTGTCTCTGCCTCCTGAGTGCTTCACCATGGCTTGGACCATGGCAAAAACTGATGTGGGATTCCCCTCTGTATGCTATGAATATGTTTTATTACCATTGGTTATTAAAGAAGCTGCTTCAGCCAATGGCTTAGTAAAGCCAGGCAGTAAATCCAAACAGAGATATAGTGAAAAAGTAGGTGGAGTCAAAGAAATGCCATTATACCTGCTGAAGGAGACAGATGCCTTGGAACCTTACCTTACCGAAGTTAGGCCACAACTTCAATGGTGAAACACAAATTAATAGAAAAGGGTTAATTTAAGATGTAAGAGTTAGTTAACAAGAAGACTGAGCTAACAGGCCAAACAGTATTGCCATTAATATAGTTTCTGTGTTATTATTTGGGTCTGGGCAGCTGGGAAAAAAAAAAACAGCAGTCTCTGCCTACACTGTTCATTTTTTTTTTTGGTAAGCTATCCCAATAGCTTCGATGATCATATGCACAGTTCAGATCTTAGCTTCTGTTAAAATATTCTAGCCATTTGCTAGTTAAGTCTTTTTTCTTTTTTCCTTTTTAAAAAAAAAAATCTTTCTTTTTGAGATAGAGTCTCATTATGTACGGAATTCGCTCTGTAGACCAGACAGGTCTCAGACTCACAGAGATCCACCTGCCTCTGCCTGAGTGCTGGGATTAAAGGCATGGGCTGCATGTTCAGCTTGTTTTGTATTCTTTCGAATTAGTTTATAGGGTCAACATTAGCTTAAGCAGTTATTTCCTGCTAGGCTTTGATCTGACTTTGAACCAGCCCAGAAGTCGTATAGTATTTTAACAAGTTCGATCATTAGGTATATCTTCAATAAAAGACTCAAATCTTGAGCAGGAATGTGGAGGGAAAAAAAGATATTATGACAGACCATTTCATGAATTATGAAAGTTCAATCATAGATTTAATTCAAGTAAATGATTCATCTCTTCCACCTGAGCACTACAGAGGACGCACAAACCTTCTAAAGCTCAGAGAAAACACAGTGCAGACACTTTGGTTGGGAGGGCGAATTCAGAACCCCAGAGTTGACAGTCAGAGGGTGCTTTAAGAAGAGGCACGGTCCACAGTCCTGGAATGTCATCCCACTTGTATCAATAGCATGTGCAGGAGGAGACAGTAAACACAGAATTTTATTTTATTTTATTTCAGTTTAGGGTCTGAAATAAGAACCTCTTTGGTATTTTGAACATCAACTTGACATTCCAGATCACCATTAGTTGGGACAAGTAGGAATCAGTTGACTTGATGGTTGATTTTAACCCAAGGACGAAGTTTTCACAACCATGTACCACACAAGTACAATTGACGGTTCTGGTACAAACAGTACCCCAGACTCTGGCATCCACGTGTACTGGGCCAGCTCTGTTCATTTTAATAAATGCTGGCGCACTGGATCCCTCTGGCCTAGCTCTGTTTTTTTCTATACCACATCACTTACCATCCTCTAGCCTGCTAAGTGCTTGCTTATATACTCTGCTACTGTTTGCTGGGACCCTCCAGTAAGAATAGAAGTTCCATTCTCGAAGGGATCATCATGTGTTGTTCATCTGTAGACACTTGGTAAGTACTTGCAGAACTAATGAATATTGTAAAGTCTATATGGGTGACATCACCTGAAGGGCTGCCATGTCAGTGGGCCTCCTGGTTCAATTTCTTAAACTCCACCACCTGGAAGAAGATGTGCTCAAGAATATGTTTGGCATCCTGCTGATCCTTTGGAAGTTTACTGGTTACTCCAAGAATGTCACCACACTTTCTGACATAGAATTCCAGGTCTTCATCAGTACCTAAACACAGTAGAGTTTGATTAACCCTTCAGTTCCACTCTTTCCTGAGTGCAAACATCATGTTTGAGGCGTTCCCTTCCTCCTGAGATTACTCAATTCTTCCTAGAATGATGTGATCATTGGACTTACATTCTGGCAACTCTGGGGTCTTGGATGTGCTGCTTTCATAAATAAGAATAAAAGTAGCTCATTTTGTTGTTCTTTAGTGAGACAGTGTCATGTTATAGGCCAGGCTGGTCTCAAACTTGTAACAGTTTTCCTGCCTGCCTTTCTTCCTGTGTGCTGGGATTACAGGAGTGAGCCACTGTGCCCAGTCTAAAATGACAAACCTAATCAGAGCAAAGTCCACCTGTTCTGGCTTTCCCACTCTCCAAATGAAGCACTAGTACATCCCAAAGCACAAAAGCAACCAAAGGAACTCAAGTTACCAGGCTCTAAATATAAAGACCACTGTAAAAAGGTCATATATGAAGTTTAAAGTAGCATTTATGCTAACCATGGTATAGACACCCAGAATCCCAGCATTTGGGAGACTGTGAAAGAGGATTACAAGTTTGAGATCAGCCTAGGTGGCACAAGAACACTCTGTCACATAAAAGAAGTCAGGGATATAGTTCAGTGGTAGAGCACTGGGTTTCAATCTCTAGTGCTAGGAGACAAGGAATGGCATTTACCAAAAGAGCATTATAGAAAAGTAAAGTCCTGGGTTCAATCCATAGTAAAACAAAAATAAAACCCCACCATTTACTGTAGATTATTACAGAAAAGCAGGCCATAACACAAGGTGGCTCACCCCTGCCCTCACAGCACTCGAGAGCTAAGGCAGGAGGGTCCCGAGTTTGGGGTCAGTTGAAGTGACCCAGATGAGTTTCAGAGTCAGCTTACACTACTCTGTGTAACCAGGTTTTAAAAACCCAGATAGAAGCAGGGCCTGATGAAAAGTGAACACAGGAGGACCAGGAGTTCCGTCAGTCTCAGCTACATACTGAGTTCAAGGTCAGCCCAGCTATATGAAGCCATCTCAAACTTCATCCCATGCCCCCAAAATTAGAAAAACACAAAGAAAAATTTACCAGTAATTACAACAGTCTTCTGTGAAGTCATTCCCTAGCAGTCCTGTATCTAAGATGTACAGTCATCACTGCTCTTCTCAAGACAGGGTTGTATACTGGAGCCTAGGCTGGCCTTGAACTCAGTGTTCCTCCAGTCTCAACCTCCTGAGTGCTGGGATTATGTGAGCCAAGCTCCATACCACAGATTAAATGTGAAACAAATGACTACCATTCCTTTGCTAGTTAACATGAAAGACAATCCCAATTTCATTGCTTTTTGTTGTTTTTGTTTTTGTTTTTGTTTTGTTTTGTTTTTGTTTTTTGGAGACAGGGTCTCTCTATAATAGCTCAGGCTGTCCTGGAACATTTATAGACTATGCTGGTCTCAAACTAAGAAGTTTGCCTGTCTCTGCCTCCCGAATGCTGGGACTAAAGGCATGTGCCACCACATACAGTTCATTGCAGTTTGAAAATAAACAATGCCATCTGGGTATGTTCATACGTCTTCTTAGCTGTATTCCAGGAGTGCGGTCACTGCTTCACAGTGAGTGTTTAACTTTATGTCTCTTGTACTGGGTGCAGGTCTTGAAGCAGAGCATATCACAAGGTTCAGTAGGCAGAAGAATACTACAACTTGAAGTCTACATGAGTCTTTTTGGCCTTGACTTCTTTTTATGTTCTTGGTTTTTTGGGGTGGGGGCAGGGTACCTTTGGAGCCTGTCCTGGAACTCCCTCTGTAGACCAGGCTGTGTCTCACACACAGAGAGATCACACAGAGTGTGTGAGTGTCACACACTCACAGAGATCTGCCTGTCTCTGCCTCCCGAGTGCACTGCCACTACCCAGCTCGTTTTTTATGTCTTAAGAATACTTAATTGTTTTATTATTATTTCTATGTGTGTGCAGGGGCTTGTACATGGCATACATATGGAGGTTGAAGGACAACTCCTTTTCATTGTGAGTAGGTTCCAGGATGTAAACTCAGGTAATTATGCAAGAACCTTTACCTGCTGAGCCATCTTGGCAGCCTGTGACTCTTTCTAATCTAAATGCTCCTATGACCAGTGACCCAGCTCTGTAAGGTAGAAGCCAGGGTTAGTATTAGTCTTCTTCTTCTTTTTTTTTTTTTTTAATATTTTTTATGGTTTATTTAGCTTCATCTTATGTGCATTGGTGTGAAGGTGTCAGATCCCCCGGAACTGGATCTTCAGACAGTTGTGAGCTGCCATGTGGGTGCTGGGAATTGAACCCGGGTCCTCTGGAAGAGCAGTCAGTGCTCTTAACCACTGAGCCATCTCTCCAGCCCCAGTATTAGTCTTCTTGTCACTCAGTCTAAGGGCCAGAACTAAAGGCCCATGGGGATCCAAAGTGAGACTTAAGGTTTCTGCTTAGCATCGTGTTCTGATTCACCAGATAAACTGAACTCAGAAGACCACATTCACATGCTATGAAGACATGTTCAGCTTTGTCCATGTGCTCAGATTCGGTTCTCCAAGAACAATCTTTGAACATTCTCTTACAGCAAGTCACAGTGGTTCATGGTAAATAAAAGTCATAAGGGATAAAAGGTAACGAGCTAATACTCACATTTGTTGGTGATCTGAGCAAGACGTGCCTTTTCAGAGGAGAATGTTTCATCTAGGTCAAACAGCTCCAGGGGAGGGGGTGCTAACTCCCGGAAACTGGGTGGGAAAACCTAGAGGGAATGAAGGTTTTTAGCAAAGTCTCCCAGAGCTTAACAGGGACAAGAAGTGTAAGCAATGAGAGGCTGACTGAGCCATTCCCCTGGGGGGAACCGTTCATTCCAACTCCATCGCCTCTGGCTGCCCTCAGCCATTAGGTCCATGTCAAGACTGAGTCCCTTGTAAGCAAGCAACCAAGCAGAACCAGATTTAACCACATTGCTAAACTGATGAAGCCGATATAACAGTGCCATGAATTCTGCACAAGCCCAGAGCTTAGGTTTGTGTAGAATATCTGAGGCCACACTTGTTCCTATATAGTTAGGTCTTTGTTTTGAGACAGGATCTTGCTGTATAGCCCAGAGTGGCCTCAAACTTGCAGTCTTCTTGCCATAGTCTCATAAGTCCTTAATCATAGGTGTATGTCTTACACCCAGCTAGTTATTATGTGTTCTTTAGGAACAAAAGTCATTGGGGAAGCAGATGTAGATCAGTGCAGACAACTTAACATTAATATGTTAGCATTTTAAGAAGTGCTCCTGGATAGTAAAGAATTACAGATTCACAATAGGACAGATTCAGACATAAAAGACCTCTAAATGGCTCACAGTGTTGGATAAATGTACACAGGCTTGGAAGAGAGAAGAAAAAGAGTATAGAGAGTCATAAAATAAAGTTAATTTTTTTTTTAAAAAAAAGGGTAAAGTCTTTAAAGAGACAGTACAGATAGTCATAGATTAAAAGGAGTAAAGAAAAAAAGCCACATAAAAATGGAAAATTCACAGAGAGTCTGGATTATGTATATTATTGTGTTTTCTTTGAATTATTTGACTGTGTAGGAGAGACATTTCATTGTATGGGCTGCTAAGCTAAACCAGCATGTATATTATAAAGGTATCATGACTTTCAAATTTGGCTCTAAGGCTATGATGCTTTGGAAAAGTTCTCTTGTTTTCACAGAAGATGAGTACCTGTGGACTGCTTCTAGACCAATATGGTTTGATAGACCACGGCCCCCTGAAAAGTTGTCACGAACACCCTCAAAAAATTACTTTGCCCAACTGCTGACTGAGATGAACCTAGCACACAGGATATACCATAAAAGACCTAATTAACAGCACCCACAATCATTAGGAAGCAGTACGGACAAATCTACACCCATATTCCCAAATATTGTCTATAAATTTTTTTTACATTTAAAGAGGGATATGATATAGATATGAGTAATTTGCATTGGTATGAATCTTGGTTTATTAATACAAAATTGAGTACAATTTTGTTATATGTATATGTATTTCTGATCTTGACTAAGGTGTTGTGTTTGTGTAGCTCATTTAAAAATATAATGTAAAATTATGATGTGGGAGAATTGTCTGTGTTCTGTCAATCATATTTTAATAAAATGCTGATTGGCCAGGCAGGCAGTATAGGCGGGAAAACCAGACAGGAAGTAGAGGTGATGCAATGAGAACAGGAGAATTCTGGGAAGCAGAGAGGTTCCTCCGCCACTCCTGTGCAGACCATTGAAGAGGCAGCATGTAACCTGCCCAGCTAAAAAAGGTATGGAGCCATTATGGCTAACATAGATGAGAATAATGGGTTAATATAAGTTATAAGAGTTAACAAGAAGCCTGACCTAATGGGTCAATCAGTTTATAATCTTATGGAGTCTTGTGCGTGATTTTCTTTGGGGCCTGCCTGCTGTGGGGTACTGGGCAGGACAGATACCCCAACAAGCCAGCCCCACATGTTACAAAATTAAGAAATAGGTTAATAGATAATCATCTATAATAGTCAAGCTTGTAATCATGTTAGATTTTCTAGATGTATAGAGATATATTTCAGTTAGATAGATATTCTTCAAATCTTTCAGAGACCTTCAGAATATGGCATTTAAAATGTTTTAAGAACTTAAGACTTTTCATGACAGTGAGACACATCTGCTCCTGGTAGCACAAATTACTTCAAGAGGAAGACGGGCATCGAAGACACTCCTTAGCCATTTGAGCAAAAAACTGCTCTTGTCTGGACTACTCGACTGGACATGAGGACCCACAGAGAAATGACTGCTGAATTTATCTAAAGGTGAGATGGTCCTTTGGGGTTCCTGCCTCATGAAAGAGTCTGTGAGACATTCTGCAGGATACAGAAAAAAGTGATTGGCAAACTGCCAATATAGGCAGAACTGTCTTTGAAATTTTCTGCTTCATGGAAAAGTCTGCTGGATACTATGGGCCTGTAGGCTCAAGATGGATGCCCCAACAATACAAAAGAATTCTGGGTGACTGAACAGGCAGTGAGATGTCTCTGTCAATTTAGAGTTTTGGAAGTTGTTTACGATACACTTCCTGTTTACTTAGGTAATATTATATCCTTCTGGAGTCTTTGATGGAATTGGAGAATTTATAATTATAGTTACAGTTTTCCTTAGTTATGATAAAAGATAAATTAGATATAAATATTATAACTGTAATTCTTGCTTAATAACTGTTTTGCTATATGTAATTTTATTACGTTAAAGCCTTCCTTTTTTGTTTAACCAGAAAAGGGGAAATAGTGTGGGAGGTCCTTCTTTCTATGTGTTGCTTGTATTGGTTAAAGAATAAAGAAACTGCCTTGGCCTGACAGGGAAGAATTTAGGTAGGTGGGGAAGACAGAACTGAATTCTGGGAGGAAGAAAGCAGAGTCAGGGAGATGCCATGGATCCGCTACTGGAGTAAGACATGCTGCCAAAAATTAGTCAGTAAGCCACTGCCACGTGGCGATGCACATATTAATAGAAATGGATTAAACTAAGATGTTAGAGTCAGCCAATAAGAAGTTAGAGCTAGGGGCTGGAGAGATGGCTCAGAGGTTAAGAGCATTGCCTGTTCTTCCAAAGGTCCTGAGTTCAATTCCCAGCAACCACATGGTGGCTCACAACCATCTGTAAAGGGGTCTGGAGCCCTCTTCTGGCCTGCAGGCATACACACAGGCAGAATATTGTACACATAATAAATAAATAAATATTAAAAAAAAAAAAAGAAGTTAGAGCTAATGGGCTAAGCAGTGTTTTAATTAATATAGTTTCTGTGTGGTTATTTCAGGGGTAAGCTAGCCAGATGGCCGGGACGAACAAGAGGCCCCTCCCTCGTGTATGTTGTTGTTGTTTCTTTGTTTTCTGTTTTTCAAGACAGGGTTTCTCTGTGTAACAGTCTTGGCTGTCCTGGAACTCTCTTTGTAGACCAGGCTGGCCTTGAACTCACTGAGATCCGCCTCCCTCTGCCTCCCAAGTACTGGGATTAAAGGTGTGAGAAACCACTGACTGGCCTCAGTTAGTAATTGTATGGGCTGGTTTTGTGTGTCAACTTGACACAAACTAGAGTCATCAGAGTGAAGGAGCCTCAGTTGAGTAAATGCCTCCATGAGATCCAGCTGTAAGGCAATTTCTCAATTAGTTATCAATCGGGGAGGGCTCAGCCCACAATGGGTGGTGCCATCCCTGGGCTGTCAGTCCTGGGGTCTATAAGAAGATGGGCTAAGCAAGCCACAAGAAGCAAGCCAGTAAGCAGCACCCCTATGTGGCTTTTGCATCAATTCCTGCCTCCAGGATCCTGCCCAGTTTGAGTTCCTGTCCTGACTTCCTTCAGTGATGAACAGCAATATGAAAGTGTAAGCTAAATAAACCCTTTCCTCCTCAACTTGCTTTTTGGGCAAGGTATTTTGTTGAAGCAATAGAAACCCTAAGACAATGAAGTACTCAGATGTTGCATGATGCCTTACATATGGCTGCTGTTCCATAGCTGCTGCTTCTCAACCAAAACATTCCCTCCAGAAAGAAAAAAAAAAAGAGTCCCACAGGAGTTAGGAAACTTACAAAGCTCAGGAAGCTCACAGTCTACATGGAGGGTAAATGAGCAGTAAGTTATGTGGAAAGACAGTGTTATTCTCAAGGGGAACTGCCTGAAAGCGGGCAGAAAAAGCCAAGATGCAGCTTTCCTGAATATTCTGTGCTGGGGTTGGGCTTTTTGGTGATGCAGCTGACTGAGAAGAAACCCTGTCCTTGCCCTCCTGTGAATAACTCCTAACCCATGTTCATGTAAGTAACTCACTGCAAAAAATCATTGGTTTACTAAAGCAGACTTGGGAGGAATCATGTTTGTGATCTGTTATCAATGCCCTCTAGGGTGAACATGTTCGTGTCTCCTGAGTAAGTAATGTAGTGGCCATATGACCCCAGCCTGTTTAAACTGAGCATCTGAGCGCCCACTGCCTGCGAAGGCATCTCAAATATTTTATACCTCTTTACCCAGTGTGGTGGTTTGAATGAGAATGGCATCCATAACCTCATGTATCTGAATGTTGGGTCCTTAGCTGGTGGAACTGTTTGGGAAGGATTAGGAGGTGTGGCCTTGTTGGAGGAAATGTGTCACAGGGGGTTGGCTTTGAGGTTTCAAAAGCCCACACCAGGCCTAATCTTGTTCTCTCTCCATCTCCTACTTGTGGACGAGAAGTAAGCTCTCAGCTACTGCTCCAATGTCATGCCTGCCTGTCAGCTGCCATGCTCTTCATCATCATGGTCATGGATTCACCTTCTGAAACTGTACACAATTCCCCAATTAAATGCTTCCTTTTGTAAGTTGTCTTCGGTGTCTTGTCACAGCAATACAAAAGTAATTAGGGCACTCAGGCAGTCTCATACATGTCTTCCAACTCCTGACCCCCAAAATGGAAAAGTTTAATAACTAGGAAAGCCCATGCTCTGACCCCTTGGCACTTCCCCACATAGAAGTCCCTACAGAATGCTAACAGATATGATGTCTCAATATGCTTAGAGGCAGAGCACTTGGACTCTAGGAAGGTGCCCACATGGGAGGGTAACCAGTGGAGTTCTACAGCAGGAGCCCCTAAACCCACTTACTCACAGCAGGCTGAAGGGCTGGCAGCGGCATCTCAAACTGAGGCTGGACAAGCTGGAGTGGTTCATGTTTCACATTTAGCTCCTCATGAGCCCTGAGTTAGTAAGACAAAAATGTGGGAATAAAGGTAAGGCACTGTGGTAAAACACAGCTAACTGCTCACATCAACACTATTCAGTGTTGTTCTAACAGCTGTGGGAATAGTTCATAATAGGGCTTATGCCTAACATATGTGAGGGCCTGGGTTCTAGCCTTATCCTGCCCAGAAAGAAAAGCAAAACAAAATAAATCTGTTGCTCTGGGTTGGTGAGATAGATTCACAGGTAAAGAACTTGCCATCAATCCTGAGTTTGATCCCCAGAACCCACATGGTAGAAAGAGAGAACTGACTCCTGTAAGTTACCCTTTGACTTCCACATATGGGTACACATGTACATGTACGTGTACACACACACACACACACACACACACAGAGTAATGGCTAATCTTGGCTGTCAACTTGACACACCTGGGAAGGAGGAACCTCAGTTGAAGAACTGCCTCCACTGAAGAGGCCTTTGGGGCATTTTCGTGGTCGCTATTGATATAGGAGGGCCCAGTCCACCGTGAACACTACCATTCGCTGAGCTGACAGTCCTAAGTTTTATAAGAAAGCTTACTGAGAATAAGCCAGAGGGAGCAAGTCAATAAACAGCATTCCTCTGTGGTTTCTGCTTCAAGGTCCTTCCTTGAGTTCTTGCCCTAACTTTCCTCAGTGATGAGCTATGGCCAGGAAGTGGAAGATGAAATAAACCCTTTCTTCTCCAAGCTGCTTTTGGTCATGGTGTTTATCACATAAAAAAAAAAACAAAAAACCGCACATAAAATTGAATACAATGTAATGCAAAGGAAAAATAATTTAAAAATGTAAAAATGCTGCTCTGTCTAACAGGATTTCTTCTAAGATACTTCTCTAGGGAATCACAAAGCATTATTTGAGAACTGAATGGAAAATTTACTTTTAAATTTTAACAGTCCTCTCAATGGGATTTGGTTTTTACCCAATGAGTACTGTGACTGTTTTTACTACTGAGAGAAATCAGCCCAGTGTGGTGACATTTCATTTGTATTTTAATAAATAAACTTGCCTGAAGATCAGAGAGTAACACAGCCCTACTTGTCAGCTTACAGACCAGGCAGTGATAACACACACCTTTAATCCCAGTAGCCACACTAGTTAGTTTGCCAAAGAAACCAGGCAATAGTGGTGCACGCCTTTAATCCCAGCACTAGAGAGCATTATAAAATGGAAAGAGACAGCTCTCAGACACAGTCTCATTCTGAGACTCCTGGAGGCAGGATCGCCATTTCAGACTGAGGTAGAGGTAAAAGCCAGTGGCTGGCTATTTGCTTTTCTGACCTTCAGGCTGAACCCCAATATCTGTCTGTATTTTTATTAATCAAGCTACTGTCCAGTATAAGGACTGCTTCTGGTAAGCAAACACATCTTCACAATACGAATTCCCGTGTGTCCACTTTTCTCAGCAAGTACTGACTCACTGTCTGCTATGTACCAGGTAGCTTTATCTGTCATAAGCATCACAGCAAGAAGAACCAAAGGAGGTTCTCCTGGGACCTACATGCTAGGGAAGGGACATACAGTACAAAGAAAACCAGATAATATGCCAGGTATCAGTAAGTAGTAAGAAGAAAAACAAATCCAGGACAGAGAGGGAAGAAGTCACACAGTTATTTTGCAAAGTATTTTTTTTTTTTTGATTTTTCAAGACAGGGTTTCTCTGTAGCTTTGAAGCCTATCCTGGAACTAGTTCTTGTAGACCAAGCAGGCTTCAAACTCACAGAGATCTACCTGCCTCTACCTCCCAAGTGGTAGGATTAAAGGTGTGCACCACCACCGCCCTTGAAAAGCTGCACCAAGTATGTGTCACACACGCCTTGCCTATCTCAGTGCCTAGGAGGTTATGGGGAAAAAAAATATCACAGGTTGAAGGCCAGCCTGGGCTACACTGAAAGTTTCACACCAACTTAAAGTACAAAGGAAAACCTAGTCTCAAGAAATCTCAAGAAAACAGTGTTTAGGAGGCAGCAGACTCGGCAGAAGGGGCTGGTGTCCTTTTTGTTACAGCACAGTGGTAAGAATGCCAAGTTCAAGTGGCTGCTCTGGCTTCTGCTTTGCCATCACTGTCCCGAGCATTCATTTTGTCCTTCTGTGCTGTATGTAATTTTGCAAGCTAGTCCAAATTTAATTGTTCTCTTTATTCTACTCATTTAGGTTTTTTTTTTGAGACAGAGTTTGATTTGTTTTCAACATGCAATCCTCCTGCCTCAGTCTCACAAGTGTGGGTGGGGATTACAGGCCTGACACCACTGTGTCTGTCCTCAAATGTACATTTAATACACATCTGTGGCCTTGCAGCCTCAGCAGGAGTGGGGTCTATGGCTGTAAAGAGGCAACCAGCTGAACTACCACTGTCTCAACCACTGTCTGCACACGCGTAGGTGCCCGGGGGAAAACCTTTCCTAGCAGTGAGTATTACAGGTTCAAGACAAGGCAGACCCTTTCTCAGAAATAACACACGAACAGATTAAGGAGAGAATTAAAGTGAACAAGGAGTTGCACTAGTTAGCAGAATTACAGACATACAAAAGGACAGAGTCCTACGGAGGAAAACAAGCAACTCCTGGTGAGCGTCTACCCACTACACACGTGTTTTCTGACCTTGTAGTGTGCAGGGTCACTGAACTCATTTTGTTTAGACTCAAAACACTCTAGACTACGGCATAATTACTGAAGCAAGAGGAAGTGGAGGGATAGAGACTTGATGTAGCTTCCAAAGTTGTCTTTTTAAGAGACAGGTGAGGCGGAGCCTGGGCTGAGTCTGGCCTCGTCACCCTCCTTCAGTCTCTCCACATCCCAGGCTGATGTAACAGTGTACCCTACTCAACAAATGTCTCTTTACTTAACCTGTGTCTGCTGAGCTGTGTGCTGTCAGAGATGAGAATGATGTTAGGAACTGAATCCACTGTGATAGGGCATTCTGCAGCAAGCATAATCGTCTGAACAAAGCCCTGGAAATTTACCCATGTTGTAAAAGTCCTAGCAGAGGAGCAGCTGAGACTCAGGGCCAGGATCCTATCTGTAAGAAACTAGAAAAGACCTCTAGCAGAGGTGAGTGCTTCAATCTGTTTTTCCAGAAATAGCCAAAACAACTTTGGGGGAAAAGTATCTGAGAGTCTTGCATGTTAGCTATACTCAGCACCCACAGTACTACAGCAGCCTGCCAAATGACTAGAGTCAGGAAGAGTAGGGACTAGCTGCAGAGGGTTGACAGTGGAGCGAGGAAGAGCAGCTGAGGGTTAACAGATATGGGAGGAAGAGTTCACGGGCATGGGCCTCATAGCTCTGCTGGACAAGCCCCAGAGACTCAGTGCTTTCTCTGCTCTGTTTAAGTGCTTCTAAGGGGGACCAAACATACCTGTTTACTAAGGGGTTCTTGGAACCCAGGACTTGTGCTAAACCCAGAAAAGCTGTTGGCAAAGTAGAAAAGTCGGGTTACCTGAGATGCCTTTTAGGTCCTGGGACACAGGTGGACAGTGACTAGCAGCAGTTCCTCTACACCATTCATGCATCCCACACCAGTCTCCCTACTGACTTCATCACAGAGCTGAGAACACGTTTTCCTGTCACAGCTCCAGGCTCATGTTTTCAAACCAGAGTGAACTGCAGTGTGAGCCCAGGCAGCCTCAGTACTAACTTGATGACCTTGGGGAGGCAGGTGGTGTCCAGCTGGTAAATAGACAGGTCAAAGAGGGTGGTGAAGTCACGTGGGTTCTCATCGCCCTCCTGGAGGCACACTCGGAGCTGCTCTGAGAGGGTGGCTGTGTCTGGTACCATTGTGTAGTCGGAAATCTAAAAGTCAAATGAGAGTCCCTCTCAGCAAAAGTAAATGGAGTTTACTCTGTCAAGCATCCATCCTGGGTCACAATCTACAAAACTTCTATTTCCTTGCCAAGAGATCTCACCACCGATCATCACTGACAACTTCCATCAGACACTTTAAGCAGAAGGAGGAAGAAAGCTACTGGACTGAACCCCAAAGCTAGCTGAGTACAACTCTCAAATTACACACGCAGTTGAACACAGCTGGAGTCATGCTGACTTAACTGTTTTCCTTTTACTATCGTTCCCTTTTACCCTGAATACTAAGCAATCAACTCTATCAAATTTACTCACATCTCCATCTGAAGGAAATATCCCTTTTACCACTACAACCATCCAAAACAATTTTCCTTAAGGTTATTTTAATGAACAACTTTCTTTACTATTACAGTGAGAAACTGGAGGTGATAAGAAAAAGTCCATAAACTCCCACTAAAACACACCTCCCTTCCCTGCCCCAGCATCTGGGCCATGTCTGCTATCTCCTGTTAGATGCATGAGCACATGTGACACCAATGCAGACAGGCCCTCCCCCTGCACCCTATACCCTAATCTTTCTTCCTTAGTCAAGGACATCCCAGCACTGTTCAGAGCAGTGATGATGTGCTCTATGCTGGTAAGAGGAAAAGACCAGGAGAATCTAACTGTTCATCTCAAGAGGACACTGTCTAATAAGGGGCAGCATGTTTATGCTTAAACAAAGGGAAAACATGGCTCGGCGTTAAGAGCTTTTCAGAGGAGCAGCATTTCATTCCCAGTACCCACTTCAGGAGACTCACAACAACATGTTACTGCAGCTTCACGGGATATCATGCTGGCCTCCTTGGGCATCTGCATATGTGGTACATATATGTATAGAGGCAGGCACACCCACACTCCAAGAAAATAAAGTAAATCTTAAAGAATAAAGAACAGATAGAAGGTTCTTCAATAAAGAACAGGAGCCAGGCGGTGGTGGCCCACACCTTTAATCCCATCACTCGGGAGGCAGAGGCAGCCTGGTCTACAGAGCGAGTTCCAGGACAGGCTCCAAAGCTACACAGAGAAACCCTGTCTTGAATGTCCCTCTGTATGCTATGAATACCAATGGTTAATAAAGAAACTGGCTTGGCCTGATAGGGTAGAACAGAGCTAGGCAGGGAAAACTAAACTGTATGCTGAGAGAAGGAAGGGGGGAGTAGGGAGAAATCATGGAGCTGCTGCCAGAGACAGATGTGCTGAAACTTTGCTGATAGGCCACGACCTTGTGGTGATGCACAAGTTAATGGAGATGGGTTAAATTAAGATGTAAGAATTAGCAAATAAGAAGCTAGAGCTAATGGGCCAAGCAGTGATTTAAATAATATAGTTTCTGTGTGATTACTTTGGGAGTCTGGGCAGCCAGGAAAAGAACAAGCAGCTTCCCTACACCGCCCCGTCCCCACCGCCGCAAAAAAGAACATGGTAAATATTTCACTGATAATTTTTCCTTCCAGGGTCGCATGTAGCACAGACTGGCCTAGAACTCACTACTAACACGAGGCTGCCCTTGAAGTTCTGATCCTCTGGCTTTCACCTCCCAAAACTGGGACTACATGTATTTGCCATCATGCCTAGTTCCAATGGTATAATTTTTAAGGTGCCGGATAATGTACACACTGTGTGTGGCATAAGATGAGGGAAGGGAAGCCAACACAGACTAGCTTACCTAAGCAGAAACTATCTCTGAAGGACCTATGACTGCTGTCACTGGAGGGAAACAGAACAGCCTGCTGAAAGACAGAAGAAAGACTACTCACTGTGTATGACCTTTAAACTCAGAACTATGTCAATCTATTACCTATTAGTCTATGCCTGTAATCCCATTACTTTGGAATAGCTTCAAACTGCACTAAAGTCCAAGGAACACTGAGGAAGAGAGAGTGGAAGACTGTAAGGGACTGTAAGGGACTGTAAGAGCCATAGGACCAGGAAGTCTGCTGTGAGACTGTCTCCCAGAAATGACAGAGAAGCTACACTTTGTTGGTACCTCAACAAAGTGGCAGCCTGAACAAGACCTGAACGATGACAAGATCAACAGACATGCTAATTTGGAAGGGGAAAATCTCATAGTGTTCCATCCCTAGACAAAGAACTACGAGCAGCTAATGACTGCTGTTGCTGAGGGTAGCAGAAGGAGCTAGTCCCAGGGATGAGCCCCCTAATTGGTTATCCAATAGAAAACTTATTTAAACTTAAAAAATAAAATAAACAAACAAAAACCCCTCATATATAACCAGATGTGGCAGCACAGCCTATGATCTCAGTACTCAGGAGGCTGAGATAGGAGGACTGCTGTAAGCTCAAGGCAAGTATAGACCACACAGGGATACTGTCTCAAACAAAGAATAGCAACAGAAGCTGGGGGATGTCTCAGACATTGAATGCTCAGTGTATGGGAACTCCGGATTTGACCTCATCCACAAAACAAACCAACCAAATTGCTAGTCCTGTTTCACAAAATCTTTACTTTCAGCATAGGAAACTTGCCTGAACATTAAAGAAATAAAAAAATACATTCACCGTTTTTTCTGTAGCCCTATGATTAATTTAATCCCAGTACTTGATAGGCAACAGAGGTAGGCAGCTACCTGAGTTCAAGGACAGTCTGGTCTACAAATTGAGATGCAGGGTAGCCAAGACTACACAGTGAAACTCAGCCTAAACAAATATAAAAACAAAAATGAAACCAGTGACTTTTCCCAATCCTCAAACTTTTCTTTTTACTCAAGAAACAAACAGATGAATGTCCTTTCCAGGAATATGTGGCAGCTTTAGTTACTTTAGTCTCCAATGACGGTGGGCTAAGAGCAAGAGCAACGGCAAGGAGGCTAACTGTGCACATCCAGCACACAACTCAAAGGACAGAAACAGGCCAGCCATCTGTTCTCACATCTCCAGTCAGAGGCCTTCCATGAAATCCTAGTTCAGACAGTCATCAAGGCTTAGACACCCAAATATGAACATAAAGAGTCTTCCCAGGATGACTAGCTGTCCTAACTTGTTCTCTTTTTAATTTTACTCTGTATTTTATTTATTTGTATATTTGGGGACACATGTACCAAGGCATGCCTATGCCAGTAAAGGACAATGTATAGGAGCTGGCTCTCTCTTTCCATCATGTGGGTCCCAGAGATTGAACTCAGGCTGTCAGGTTTGAAAACAAGGGCCTTTTCCCACAGAGCCATCTCTCTAGCCCAGCAATCTTCCAGAGAGCAAATTTTAATCCTGATACTTATATGGAAGCACTGACTTCAATTAGTTCTGTCTATTGATACCTGACTTTCTATAATGTGCCCTTCCTTTCCACAAGCAGCATCGCTTTCTTTCTGACTGTCTCAAGGATGAGTTAAGAGACATCTATTCCTGTGGAAGAGGTTCTAAAAAGTTGGCCTCATTTTCCATTTCAATCTTCCAATGATTCACAGTCTCCTACCTCTGGGTCCTCAGCATCAATCTGGTTTAGGTGGATGTCTCCTGTCGTGAGCCACTGGAATACAACATCCTGTATTTAAAATGATAAATACAGTTAGACATCTGACTGTTTGGGAATGCTGAAGGTCAGGTTAAATTAATTAAGGTGGGGAGAAAAGACAACTAGTAATTTAAAAAAGGACTGTCAGTCTTTTGTTGGTAAAAATCTTTGGAAATTAAATGCAAACCTTTATTATCATTGCTTCAGGGTATTCTAACAAGTAGCAAGTCAAAACTTACTAAAAACCTGTTTACAATCCTAAGCAGCCTTTGTTTACTAGAATGACAGTCTAAACTTTTAAGAACATACCTTTTCAACTGTGGCTATTGTAATATGGCAAAATCATAATTATACATAAAAACCAAGCAGCTTTTCAAAGCAAACATTTAGGATTCTGAGCACAGTGAGAGGCACTGAACCAGGTAGACCCCTGGTCCACCTCCCACTATATGGAAGACTAGAAGGGCTCACTCCACTAACACACATCTTCCTCTGGCAGATGAGCGGCTGCAATTCCAGTGTACAGGTCTAGCAGGCACTAGGGAAATGCTTGCTTCCCCATTATCATCCTCACAAGACACGTGCTCTTCCCACTATGTAGACAGGACAAAGGCATGCTTCCACTTCATTCCTCATCATCTTATACAGAAAAGTCTCGCTAACTCATTCTGCCAGTCCTTGCTTCACTCACTAGTCACAACCTTCACTCAGTCATCATCCTTGATTGCCTGGGTAACTCCATCAGCCTCCTAACTGGCTCTGGTTGCTCTCTTCCTTCCCACTGTCCACACAATCTAGAGGGGTCTGAGCACTGTTGGGGAATATTATTTTAAGGTGTGTTTTATTTGTTTAACTCTATAAAGCTGTTTGTCAGATGGTAGTGGTGCATGCCTTTAATCCCAGCACGAGGGAGGCAGAGGCAGGTGGATCTCTGTGAGTTTGAGGCCAGCCTGGTCTACAAGAGCTAGTTCCAGGACAGACTCCAAAGCTACAGAGAAACCCTGTCTCCAAAAACAAAAACAAAAAACAAAACAAACAAACAAAAAGCTGTGTTACTGTGCTTGTCTAAAATACCTGATGGTCTAATAAAGAACTGAGTGGCCAAGAGCAAGGCAGGAGCAAGGACAGGTGAGGCTGGCAGGCAGAGGGAGAAATAGAAGGAGAAATGAGGATGAGGGGGAGCAAGCAACGAGAGAACAAGAAAAGGAGAATGTCGGAGGTCAGCCACCCAGCTACACAGCAAGCCACAGAGAAAGATGTAAAGTAAGATATACAGAAGTTAAGAAAAGGAAAAAGCCCAGAAGAAAAAGGTAGTCAGGATATAGTTAAGTTAGAAAAGCTGGCAAGAAACAAGCCAAGGCCGGGCATTAATAACTAAGAATAAGCCTCTGTGTGTGATTTATTTGGGAGTTGGGTGGTGGGTCCCTCAAAAAGCCGAAAGAGTGAACCATCACACAACAGAGCACCAGCAAGGTTGTCCCTGTGCTTTCAGTGTAAGCTCACGCTACTTGCTTTACAAGGGAGGCTTGCTCCTCACCACTTTTCCAGAGTCGTCAACACTCCTATTTGACACGCTTCCCCAATACTTTTCTAGATTCACCCACCAATCTGTCTGTCACTCTTCTGATATACCATAAACTTCTGTAAAGCAAGTGCTACACCCAACTCAACTTTGTGTTTTTAGTGCCTGACATCTACTCAATTCAGTACAACTCATGTAGACGAGTGGCAAGTGTACTTATCAGTATTTTCTATTGCCATGGAAGTCATACTTACATAGTGTGCATTAATTTGATAAAAGAAAAAAGCTTACCATAATCTTATTATTTTCTTCTTTATCCAAATATTGGTCACTGAACATGTGACATGAGCCAAGCACTGCCAGCTTCCCACCTTGGTTCTGTTGGTGACAAAGCAGTGTCAGATGCTTAGGTCCCAAAACACACTGCATGTATCATTTATCACATTAGCAACTGTCTGATACACCAATAAATGCCAATTCACATGAAGACTTAACATTTGAAAAGTAACGACTATGAGAACAATTACTCTTTACTGTTATTCGTTTTTAGAGACATTTATTTTTCATTTATGTATATAAGTGCTTCACCTACATTAATACATGTGCACCATGTGCACGTAACAGGCTGTGCATGTAACAGGCTGTGAAGGCCAGAGAAGGGTATCAGATGCCCTGGAATTAGAATTACATGTAGTTGTGAGCCTCCAAGTAGGAATCAAAGTGAGGTCTCTGAAAGAGCAGCAAGTGTTCTTAATTACTGAACCATCTCACCGACACCTACGTTACTATTTTTCAACAAATAAAAACAAAGTATCTTTGCCTTTCTGATAAATATGAAAAAAAAATGATGATGATCAGTGTTTATTAGATTTCAATGAGTGAGTTCTTTTTTTGTTTTTTTGAGGGGGGGTTGGTTTTTTTAGGTTTTTCAAGACAGGGTTTCTCTGTAGCTTTGGAGCCTGTCCTGGAACTAGCTCTTGTAGTGCAGGCTGGCCTCAAACTCACTGAGATCCACCTGCCTCCACCCCCTCAACACACAAGTGCTGGGATTAAAGGTGTGCGCCACCACTGCCTGGCTAATGAGTGAGTTCTTACACTACACTTTTACTAAAATTGTCTTTCTCTTCAGCCAAGGCTGAAGAGATAGCTTGGTGGGTAAAGTACTTGCTGTGTGAGCATAGGGACTGAATGTTAATCCCCAGAATCCATATAAAACCAGCTGAGGTAGCACACATGTCCATACGATAACCATAGCACTCCTGTGTGGTTATGAGAGACAGAAAAAAAATCCCTAGAATTTTGTGAACCAGCTATATATAACAGAAACAAAACAAGAGACTTTGTCTCAAAGTCAAAGATGAAGACCAGTTTCCAAGGTTGTCCTCTGACCTCCATTTGTGTGCCATGGAATACATGTATTCATATTCATACACACAAATGTAGATGCATGCATATCTCCCAACACACACATGCACACCATACGAACATCTAAACACACACACACACACACACACATTTTAAAGGAAACAAAACCCTGCAACCAACAATCCAAAACAGAGACTCTATACACAATCTGTAGTCATAATTACAGACAATCAGAAATAAATCCAATTGTTCAGTGGGAAAACAGATCAGCTTCTATATCTCATAAGCAAACATTTTACAGGAAAAATATTACTATTTGGTTGCGTGTGTGTGGTTTTTTTTCTGTTCAAAACAGGGCACCACTATGTAGCCTTGGCTAGCCTGGAACTCACTATGTAGACCAGGCTGGTCTAGAACTCAACTCACAGAGCTCTTAACTCCCTCTGTCTCCCAAGTACTGGGATTAAAGGCATGTGCCCATTACAATGTAGTTTTATTACTTCAAAAACAAAATAATACCACTACTCACATATCTAAGAAAGTCAATACCTTTGAGTGATAGAAAGCCAGAATGGGTCTGTTAAGTGGGAAGCAGACGGAGCCTGTGGACAGAACAGCTACTGCAGGTTTCATGACGCTCAATGTGGCACCAAATGGGTAGACAAAGGTGAGAGCCCTGTAAGAAAACAAACACATCCACGTGAATGGACTTTAGGGGCCATGAGATGGTCAGCAGGTAAAAGCACTTGCCACCAATCCTGAGTTCACACAGTAGTAAAGAATGACTGCATGCTGCTCTCCAACCTCCACACATGTGCTGCTGACATATGTGCACAAACCACACACACACACACACACACACAGGGCACACATCTGTAAACTTAGCACTCAAAAGCCTGACACAAGAAGACTGGGAAGCCTTCTCATACTACACAGCAGGTTTCAGGCCAGCCTGAAACACATAGAAAGACTTTGTCTCCAAAAAAAAAAAAAAAAAAAAAAAAAAAAAAAAAAAAGCAGATTCTCTCTGGGGCAAACTGCATAGGTCTGAATCCAAGATCTGACAATAAATTAGTCATGTGAAGTTGGGCAATACATTCACCACTACTTAAATAAATTAGGATATAGCTAATCTGGTCTAGTCATTTAAAATAATAAACTACTTAGTTACATAAGCCATTATAAAGTGCTTAGTTAGATATATCATTATATGTGGGGGGGGGATCAAAAAACAAAAAACAAAACAAACAAACAACAACAAAAAAAAAAACCAACCTGGAAATCTAAATTTCACACTCTTAAGACACAATGCTTCTCTTGAAGGGAGGAGCATAGATTTACAGTGTAGAATTTCTACTCTGCTTCTCTGCTTCCTTCTAAGCTTTACCATGGGTTGGAGTTTGGTTTATTTTCTTTGTTTTTAGTTAAGTGTGTATGTGTGTGGAGGTGTCCACACAGACCAGAACAGGGCTTCATTCCCTGAGGCTGGAGTTAAGTATAACTGGAAGCTGGCTGATATGGATGCTGAGAGCTAACCTCAGGTCCTGCAAGAACAGTATGCACTTTTAACCACTGAACCATTTCTGCAGCTCCCAACTGGGATTTTGCTGCTGGTGGTTTTGGGATTCTTCTGGTGAGAATTACTTTCATAACCAGAAAACTCTTCATTTTGAAAAAGGTAACTCTTGGAAGTGAGCACTCCTTCCCTGCAGGGAGGTGCAGAAGCACACTCACTGGGCGGGGAGCTGCAGAAGCACACTCACTGGGCGGGGAGCTGCAGAAGCACACTCACTGGGC